GGGGGGGGGGTACGCTTTCGATCAAATAGTCTAAAACAAATAAAATTACGGTGAGGTTAAACTCGTTCATCTCCTTCCATCCCCAGACTGACCACTGCCTACTTGGTGGAGTTGGAGCCAATGACTTTGCCAAGGAGCAGGGGTTCGAACGCCTACCGCCTACGGAACTCGTCACCCCCGAGGCAAGGGCAGAGTGGGAAAAATACATAAAGTTTACCACAGCCGTGGGTGCTCTCTTCTCTGCGCGGTGAGTGTAGTAAACTAAACTACATGGAACAGGGTGAAGAATCGTAGAAATTGATGTAGGCCTACAGAAAAGTGGGAAGACATGGAATAACATCACGAGCCCTCTCTGCTGCAGACTACGACTATTCCAGTAGAGAATCCTAAGATTACTCTTTCCCAACCGCTGACTCTTTACTGTGTCTTTCTAGCTCCCGCCCTTCTCTTTCTCCACCTCCCAATGTTGCCGACTTTGCAACGGCTCTTTACAACAGGGAAGGGCATGGACAGGTCCCCCTTATATGATCAGCAATCAAGCATCAGGAATTGGATGTGAGTAGTGTTCAGTAAATGCACACCCATTATGCCACTATGAGTTCTTGTTTGTTGGTTGGTTTTGTTGGGGGGGGGTTGCTTGGAGAGGGGGGTGTTCCTATCTCTCGCTAAGATTCTTGAAGTTGTATGGAATGCAGTTTAATTTACTAACTAGTACTAGATCTAGTACTACACGATGCCAATAATGGTAGACAGTAAAATTCAGAATTTCTGTGTGCACTAAGTAGTAGTAACGGTACGCGTATTTTCTTTTTCTTTAGTTTACCTAAACAAGAAAGTCTGAAAAAATCAGAAAATAATAAGTGTTTTTACACCCCTATCGGCACAGTTTAGACCATTTCTTAGGAGACGGGCTTCCGACCCTGCCTTTCATCATCCATCATCACCATTGCCTTTCTCACCCTGCACCAGGGTATAGACCACGCACAAACACTTTGTTTTGATTGTTTAGTATAGGGTTTTACGGCGCTCGCAACTGCATAGGTCATATGAGCGCGCGGGACACACCTAATATTTTCAGTTGGTAGGAAATTTGGAATTTTGCCCGGGTGGCGGCCGAAGCCTACTCTTGTCGATTTTAGACCACCAAGGGATCTTTAACGTGCGCAACTTGCACACGGGCCCTCCGAGATTTTTCGCCCTTGTCCGAGAAGGCTAGGTGTAGATCTTTCCTACCAGAAGATCAGGGGTGTGGCAGAAAGACAGCAGTTAGGAGGAGCCAAGGAGTAGCAGTAGAAAGGCTGCAGAAAGAGTCAGGAGCCCAGAGGAGGGGGCAAAGGAGGTGAGGGGGTGGGGGCAGAAAGTGGAAATGAAAGCAGACAACAGAACATTGTTAGAGATCAGGAAAGGATGTGAAAGGAGACAATTTTAGAGAAGAAAATTTTTTGGTCGCTACCCGGAATCGAACCCGGGACCTTTGAATGAGAGGCCAACACCTTAACCTCTAGGCCACGAGACCCCCCACAAACACTTTCCACCTTTCTCTATCCTGTGCTAGCCTCTTGGTGTTATTCCATGTCTTCCCACTTTTCTGTACATCCATTTCTGTAATTCTTCTCCAGGTTCCACGCGGTCTTCCTCTTGATCTCTTACCCTGTGGATTCCAATCCAAAACTTTCTTTGTCATGCAGCTACCTGACTTCCTGAGAGTATGTCTAATCCATCGCCACCGTCTTCTTCCTAACTCATCTCTGACTTGGATCTGCCTTGTTTTCCTTAACACTTCCTCATTGGTGACCCTGTCTGTCCATCTGATCCTCAGTAACTTCCTTAGACACTTGTTCAAGAAAACCTGGATCCTCTTTACGCATGTCTGTGATGCGTTCCATGTCTCACATCCATACAACAGGACTGACTTCACATTTGAATTGAAAATCCTCAGCTTTGTTCGAAGTGAGATATCTCTACTTTTCCCAATTCTATCCAAAGATATGAAAACAGCCTGTTCTTTTCCGATGCGGCACTTTTTTACAGCACTCGCAACTGCATATAAAGTTCATATAAAGGCAAACTTCTCTATCCAGTATTATTAGCATCAATCACACCGACATGTAGGCCTATTCCATTCCTTCACAGCGATGGAGATCCCAAGTTGACAGGTTGTGACACCGTGGGAGCTGTTGCCATGGATACGTCTGGGAATCTGGCCAGTGCCACATCTACAGGAGGCATCACTGCCAAAAAACCAGGCCGAGTTGGGGACACACCCGTTATAGGTAAAATACATGACACCTATTATAATAATACCGGTACAATATATTGATTCAACGAAAAATATCCATGTACATTGTACGTGTATAGATCTACTTGAAGTCCTTCAGTCTTGTTAAGTTTTGTGAAATTTGAAACTTGAATTGCGGTATAAAATGTCTGAAATGCGTTCAGGTTTATTCAGGTCCATCTCAACATTCAATTTATTTGAAAGACAAGGTTTTTAATTAAAATAAACTTTCATTTGTGCAGAACAGCATACTATTACTATACTATACCTCAGTGGAACCATCCTGAACACGAGGGTAAACAATCTTTTTTAGTTGTTTTTTTTTTTAAGAGATTGTTTGTGTGTGGTTGTCGGGTGCTCTGGTGTGGTTTGTTCCTTCTTTCATACGGTTTTACACCTTTTGCAACGCAAATAAGTCATAAGTTCCAAATATTATTAGAGGTATAAAGTAACTTACAAAGAAAAGGAGGAGAGATAAAAATTTGATAGTGTTTGATCAGAAATAAGGACCAAATCACACCAGAGCACCCGACAACCACACACAAACAATCTCTTTCTCAATCTAGCACGGCTACCCAAACTGCAAAACCGTAAATAGTAAAGACAAAACAATAAAGCTACTTCATAACATATTAGACATGTATTTTGATAAGTTTTAAGATGTCCGTGTGTATCTATTTTCATGCGCTGAATGTTATAAGTACATTACATACTATTTATATTGCTGTCTGTCTTTTATTTTTCCCTCTTTGTTATGTTTTAATTTGTTGGTGTATTAATTTTTCTAAAAATTGTTCTGATATGTTTTTCTTTTTTGTGTGTTTATACAACGTAATGTCATTTAATTTAATGCTGTTCCTACCCTTTTAAAAATATAAGTGTTACGTTAGAGCGTGTCTCCACCAAAACCGAATACTGACACTGGCACACCCCAATTGTGTGTGATTCCATGAATTACATATGCAATATCCTGCAGGCCTACTTTTTCTTGAATTACACACGTTTTGGGTTAAAACTGCCAATCTTCGGACAGGTGGACACACACCCTTATTTGTTCATTTTTGTGGTTATTTATCACTACTGTTCTAATTTTGGTTTCATTCTATTGTGAAATCTTTATGGGAGTGCTTATTTAGGCCACATATGGCCTAAATAAGGTAAGGGAGGGGGGTTTAGCTTATTTAGGCCACAGGTAGGCCACACATGCTCAAACTACCGGGGGACACCCTTTTCAGGCAACTGAGTTCGTTCCACTTTCATAATGGTGCACCTTTCTCATTTAGTACAGTTTTGTCTCAGTGTA